AATAGATTTTAGCGTAACAAAATACAAACAGTTAATACAGTTTGAGATCTCACATTGCAGCTGATCTTTAGGAAACTACTATTTGCTGAGTTTTGGTGTAGTGTCAAAAAAGTCCACAATTATATGAAAGAGCTATTAAAATCCTCCTCTTTCCCAACTACATATCTGTTTCAGGCTGGCTTTTCTTCATATACTTCAGACAAAACAGTATATCACATTTGACTGAATGAAGAAGTAGATATGAGAAAGCAACTATTTTCTCCTAACACAGACATTAAAGATATTTTTAAAACAGTACTACTCTTACAACTAATTCTTTTGTTCAGGAAAATATAGTTGTTTTATGTTAACTTGCAATGGATTTACATTTGGTATTTTAAATGAATTAAAATATATTTGAAAACTTAAATTTAAATTAATTAAACTTAAATTTAATTAAAAATTCAGTTCCTTAGTCACACTAGCCACATTTCAAGTGCTCAACAGACACATGTGGCTGGTGGCTACTGTATTGGACAGCACAGAGAAAGAACATTTCCATCTTCATAGAACGTTGTATAGGACATCACAAGAATCTGAAAGTTTGCATGGCTACAGATGATGTTTTCTCAGCTGATTCCCGGAATGTTCTCTGATAACAAATTCAAGAAAGAAGTCATTCCTCGATATCATCCCAAGGAAATCATGAATGAAACCTATTGAAGATGCCACATGTCACTATAACAGGCTTTGAAGGGGATGTGGTAGAAATCCTCCAAAAGAAAGAACCATTTATGTTTGTTGTGTTTTAGTCCTACAAGCTTTTGAGGCTTTTCCTGCTTTTTTGGAGGGCTCTACAGCTAGTTTCATAGGACAATACATTGGCTGGCATTGTGGAAATGGCTAGTGCTAAGGTGAGCCCTGTGCAGGTGGACATTGGGGAGGTGTCGAGCACTGGATAGGTAGACAGCAAAAAAATAAATGCTGATGAGCTCTGTGGAGGTGCGTAAGGTACTGGGCATTTTGGGGTCCAGGTCTCTAAGCTCTAGAGGGGACACGGCTCAGGACACTCGGGTAGAATTACAGGTGGTAACAGAAAAGGCTGCACCCACTTGCTTTTATTCTAATTCTGGAAAGTTCAAAGGAATCAAGTGAAGGAGTTAGCAGAGGCAAGAGAAATCAGCACTCATATAATGAGCTAGGAAGTTCCCTGTCTAGTTTATGAGGGTATTCTTTGACCACCTGAATCTATGATTATAATGATGATTTCTTATTTCTTATTTTTTGCCTTTTTTTTCTTTTCAGCAATTTGTTCTATATTATAAAGATCCTCCATTCTTTTGTCATCATTCAAAGAAAATTCGTCTGTTGTGAAACAGCGAGTGTTGGTTGACTGCAGTAAATAACTCCAGGATTCAAATTCTAAATTGTGTTCAGGAGAAATTATCATTGGCATGTGCCATGAAACTAGAGTGATTTAGAAAATGATGCAGATGCTGTTCTAAGAGATCATACTTTGATATCTGTCATGTGTTTTCTTGAAAAAAAATAGACATGAATACCAAGAATTCCAGGTCACTTGATTCCCTAATACAGATCAAGAATAAAATTTTAAGAGTGGCAATTATGAGGAATAGCTATTTACAGAGTCAGGCAGCCCCACTCATAGAGAAGTGGAACAGCTGGGCTGTTATTATCCAACTTGCACACAAGCCTTCTGATATTCCTAAAAGGAATGGGCAGCCATACTGCTAGGACAAAACAAAGGCTCAGGACTGGAGGCCCAGCCTCTCCCGACAGTTTGAATGACAGTGGCTATTGAGCGTTCAAAGAGTGAGGCTCAGAGTGGTCCCCTTAAATCCACAGCATCATCTGGTGAGGGTATACACTACTCATCATCTCAGCAGACATCAAATAACCTCCTACTATTTGGCAGATATTGGTTCTGCAGAGGTGTAGGCATGGTAGTGGTGGAGGAGTGTTAAATATACAGCAGAAAAGAGAGGCAAAGAGAGGACAGCAGGAGCAACGTGGTGGAGAAGCAAGTATGTTACACAGGGAGATGCTGGAAGTCAACTGAGAAAGTGGTCGGCATAGACCCCCCCAGGAAAGAGACTCTCCTGAGTCAGAAACAGGAGGAAACAGTCCGTAGTCTAGTGGGAACTCCCTTACTGAACAGTTCTCATCTAAGCCAGATAGGATCTTTTTTCTTCAGCACAGGTGGAGGCTCAGGATGCTGCTAGGACAGAGGAATGTCAGGGTGAGGAAACCAAGACATCTCCATGAAGAGAATCAAATGTGCATTTCTTTATCTGCACAGGTGAGATCTGCAACCAAGCTGTGAACCTGCAGTTCACCAACCTGTGTGGAGTTTGTACCTCAAATTCCTCACACAAAAGTAGTGTCCTGCCCTCTACTGTTGGCTGGGAGAGTGGCATTCTACTTATGGGAGAGGAAGGGAGCTGAGGACAGAGGAGGAGCTCAGAGGGGGAGAATAACTCCACCTCTGCCAGATAAACTCATTTAACCCTTGGTGGCCGCAGGTTCAAAGTCAGTGGGCAAGACTGGAGTCCTTGGTTGTGAGTAGGGCAGAGGGACTGGTGTTCTGGGAGATTTCCCTGAAAAGATTTAGAATTGCATTGGGGTTTGTGTGGGATATCATTAAAAATAAGGCTTAAAGGTGCTCCTCTCCCCACCTTTTAGGCAGCTGGCCTGGACACTGCTGCAGGGCTTCAGGAAAGTTCTGGAAAAATTATTTTCTGTGGCTCATCAACATCTTGGAGTGCTTTGAGTTTTTAAAACATGTAAAAGAAGTGTTAGAAATAAATGTAATTTCAACGTATGGTGTAGAAAATGTTTAGAATATAGGGATATATAAAAAATAAAATAATACCTTTTGCTCTCTAGCCAAACATAGCCACTGTTTATGTTTTGCTGTATTTACTGCCAGATTTTTTAAAATTTCTGCATATATATACACACACAGTTTCACAAAAATGTAACTATGTATTACATGTCATAATATTTTACATGATCTTGACATTGTCTAACACTTTTCCATATGACTAAATATTATTATTTTCTGATCACAGTGTCTTCCACGGCATAGATACACAATAACTTATTTAAACAATTTTCTCTTTTGGGGAATTTATGCTGTTTCCCTCCCATCTTTCCCTTTTTTTTTTTTTTTGGCTATTATATATAGTGTTGAAGTGATCATCCTTATAAATAAATCATTGTGTACACGAATGCGTATTTCCCAGTGGAATGCCAGGTGTATGCAGATGTTTAAGGGTTTTGATTCATTTTGCTCAACTCCCCTCTAAGACGCTTCCTTGACTTTCCACCCCTAACAGCTGTAAATCACTAGTCAGAGTCCCCAGTCACAGCTTGCCTCTTTAATGTTGATCTCTTCTAGAGATACTACTGACGTTTTCCATCATGCCGATGCGTAGCAGTTTGAAATCTCTCAACTGTGCAAACCTTACAGACCCAAGTGGCATTATTCTCTCCTGCCAGTCTGAGAATTATATATCAGCTTGTAAAACTTTGCTGGATAGTTTTTGTCTTACAGTCTCTGAGTTTCTCTGGAGTTCTTTTCAAACCTATCCAGAATGCTTGTGCATCACACAGGTGCTGCTTGTCACCTGCCTCACACACACTCGATATTACGGACCATCTACCTTGTCAGTAAATGGGGTTCACTCCCCAATACACGCTACAGCCCCTTTGAGAATTCTGTTGGTTTCCCAGCCTCTAGAGGCAGCTCCCTCGTATCCCAGACCTGCTCAGCAGAGCCTTTCAAACCTACTGGTCACCAGCAAATTCAAGAAGACAGGACTGCAGGGGCGAGAGACAGAGGGTTGGCATCTGAAGAGCCGGGCTCTGGATGTGGTTTAGAAACATGGTTTCTGGTGACTTCATGAATTATCTTCCCCTTTCTGGATATCAGTTTGTTTATCTGGAAAATGGATGGGCTGTGCCACATGCTCTTTAAATCTCCTTTCACAGTAATATTTTATATCTTAATGATCTGTTCTTCCACAACTTTATGCTGACTTTTGTCTTATCTGTATTAACCTAACTTCCTTCCAAAACTTGCCTAAACTTTTCCTTTTTCTTTTACTGTTGATGCACCGCTTTTATCTTCTACTTTGTGTGTGTGTGGAGAGAGAGAGAGTGCATGTGTGCTTTTGCGTCAGTGCATATTTGTGTGAGTGTGTGTCTACGTGGGGAGGCGGAGAAGCTCGCCGCTCTTAGGCTTCTCCTAGGGCAGAAACTGTGGATCCTTCTCTCCTTCTTCCCGCTACAGCATCAGGATCTTCATATTGGGTGTTCAGTGAAGGAAAAAGACTGACTGAGGTGATTAAATCAGCATGTATATGTGTGTGTGTGCGTCCCATGATTTTGGGGATCTCTGTGTGCGTAGGAGTCTATTTGTGTGTGTGTCTGTGTTTGAGTGTGTGGATAGGTGTGTATTTGGATGTGGATGTGGGTGGATGTGTATTTGTGTCTGTGAGTGTTTAAGTGCTTGGCCCCATGTGTTGGGGGCATCAGGAAGAGAGGATGAGTGAAGAAAATCATGTTGGAATATGTAGAAGCACTATTTCTTTGGAATAATAACAACAATAATAAAGGCATAAACTGAACAGAATAAGGGTGATTTGGGGTCAAGGACTCAGAGTCAGGGACGGCTTGAAGCAGGCACCATCTGCATTCAGGTGTGACTCACTCAGGGGCAAGAAGAAAGCCCTGCTCTAGCTGAGGCTGCCCACAGTAACAGCCTCTGGGTGGCCTTGACTGCTCTTGCAGTGCCAGCCCAGGAATGTCCTGTGAGTATACCAGTCACATGAGCGCGCGCGCGCGCACACACACACACACACACACACACACATACACATTCCCAGCGCCAGAATCAGGGACTTTCTGGCTATAGCCCTCGCTGTGTGCAGTCCCTGCTTCATGTTGCGAGAACAATGAAGAACCCTGAGACAGCCACTAACACACACAGCCAGCGATGGAGTTAAAAGTGATTTAATGGGGGCAGAGCAGGGAAAATTCACTTGATTCCCCCTAAATCCCTCTTCAATGGGCCCTGAAAAGCTAGAAAACTAGCTCGGCCAGTGAGACTTTCAGCCTTATTCAGAGGCTCAGGAGTAAGTGTGAGGGACATCTTTTTAGAGGGTGAAAAGAGGGAGGGGTTAGGACTCAGAGTGACATCATGCTGACTGTAAATGGGATGCATAAGCAGAATGGGGGAGGAGAATCAGCGTCTGGTGGTCGGCTTCTCAAGGGTTTGGTTGTGGACCACATCACTTCTGCTTGGTCTTCTGCTGGGCTGGCTCCAGAACGACCTTTGAGGGACACGGCTCCGGAACCTTGGTGTGGCAGGGCTCTGGCACCTTGGTGTGGCAGGGCTCAGGAACCTTGGTGTGGCAGGTCTCTGGCACCTTGGTGTGGCAGGGCTCTGGAACCTTGGTGTGGCAGGGCTCTGGCACCTTGGTGTGGCATGGCTCCTTGGTTTTGGGGGCGCATGTTTCCTGTGGTGGAGGCTGGCAGGGCTGTTTCACCTGATGCTGCTGAGTCTGGGGGGGTGGGGCGCAGGGCTGCTTCTGCTGCTGGGAACTCATGCTTCAAAGCAGGCTGGACTAGAGACAGACAGATGATTTAAACAGGAGTGAACTAGGGAAGAAGGCATGTTCAATGCCAAATAGGTTTCGTTTTAGGCTCCTTTAGAAGAGAGAGCCTCTCCTCTCCCCTGGCTGTCTGCCTATGCTTGAGAGTAAAATATGCTTTGATAACTTCTGGGCTCTTTCAAGAGGAGGAGCTTAAATGCAACTTGGTCTGCTCCATTTCAGTGGAGGTTCATTCCTTGGCTCCCTTTCTTCCCCAGACATGTCACATCCCTCACTGGCAAGTACTCAAGGACACAAATCAGGTCTTTTGGAAAGTGCTATCTTAGAAACAGCTGCAGTCTGCCCAGTCCTAGTACCACACAGAACAACTCATGACTTACAGGATGACTCTGCATGAACCTTAGCTTCTGAGACGTCACTCTGGCCTTTGCTTACACAGTCCCCTCTGACGTGCTTTCCTCCTCATCTCTGCTTGTCCAAATACTTCTCCGTTATGGCTCATGTCATGTGCCATCACTAGAGCTCTTGAGCAAGTCTCTCCCAGCTGCCACGGCCCTTCCCTTCTCCTCTCTCCTTACACCACTCACCATCAACTTTGTGTTTCATCCATTTATGTGTCTGCGTTATCTTCCCTGCTAGGTTCTAAGTTTGCTGAGTAAGTTCCATACTGGTCTGTTATCCAAAGTGCCTAACATAGTGCCTTAAATGTAATAAACGCTCAGTGAAGGTCCATCTAATGAATTAAAATTGTTATAATAGGTATTTTAAACAGAGAATAGTGGTGCTGCTGAGAGTGCCCTGGGCCCGAGTTCTAGTTCTAAGTCTGCTGTCAACTTCCTGTGGGAACTTGCACAGATCCGTTCCCTTCCCCCACCCCCAGTTCCATAGCTGTCCACTGAAGTGGCTGACCGAACCACCTCTAAGGTCTCTTCAAACCCAAGCTGTGCTTGAAGTCAAAACAAAGATCTCCCAACATTCTCCCTATCTAATTAATACACTACAGCCATTCTCTTACATTCTCTTACCTTTGTCCCACTCCTAATAATGAAAAAATAAATGAGAATTTCACATGGTTTCCAATCAGAGACTCACCTGGTATGCAGAGAAGAATGGGATGTCTGATCTCTCTGGTCTGGTGTAAAGTCAACGGCAAGCTGGCTTTTTATAAGATAAATATGCCCTGCCTCACGGAAATAGAATCACCTCGGGCCCCTCTGTTTTCATTCCTTACCTGTCAAACATGATTCACCCCACTCCCCTCAATTACCAGTTGGCTCAGCTTTTGTGATGAAAACCACCCACCTGATATTTTGTGGCACTGGCTGTCTGACAATGATGTCACCTGGGCCTGATTCCCATGGCCACCCTCGCCCTTAGACTCAGGTGTAGGGGGAGGGGTGAGCCACAGGCTTCCTGGAGGTTTAACAGGTTAACCCTGGAGGGAGATCTGAGTCTTTTTGTGGTCTTGCCACCTTCCTGCTCTCTTTTTCCTGAAGATGGTTGTTCCTCTTGCTCTGTAGGATGAAAAACATTGGGGCACATGAACCAGTGGGAAGGGGAGGTGGGCATGAGTTGTCTCTTTCATAAAGGTAGATAGATGCTAGAGATCATGGAATTGACTGATTATAAACTCCTTGTCCATTTCCCCCATCTTTCTCCTAACTCCATCGAACTACTTAATTATTACCCCCCCTCCCCCCCCCCCAACTCCACCCTTCCCTGACTGGTTGCTAATCTGGGTAAACCTGCTTTGCTTTCACCAACCACACCTTCACCCCTCTCCTACTTGAGAGATTTTCAAGGGATAATTCTTCTTCTGGGATAACCTTTTCACTCTACCCTACCTTCTGGCCATGGCCCTTTCCTCCTTCCTAATCCTACCACCTATCACCCATGACCTGAAAACCTGAAAGATTTTTGTAACTACCTTTACCCCAACCCCATCCACGGAGACCTCAGTGGTGAGTCCTCCCCTTCCTTTTATCCACTTCCAACTCCAGCCGCTACACCTGGAGATCTTGCTGGCCACCATATTTTCCCCCTCTCTCTGGCTCTCCATCTCCTGGGGGCCCTCTGAGCATCAGAGTGTGCCTGCTCAAAACAATGGTGTTCGCATGGTAATATTTGTTTCCTTATTCATTCAACAAATATTAACGGGGACCCTAATATATGCCAGGCATGTCTCATTCCAGGAGCTATCCGAGTATGGAGATCATTTCCTCTCAACAGACTTGGAACTCCCTAAGGTGAGATACAGCCTAGTTCAGAGCCACTAATTTAATGGAGCCCAGAGAACCTTTAGTCCATACTCCTCAGGTGATGCCGGGGAAATCTGAGGCCACAAGAGGTGAAATAACTCACCCAAGGTTAAACAACAAACTCCATGAGATAAGGAATTCTACACAGAAATCCTATGTTCTCCTTTGTCTTAACCTCTCCCTACTCGTAAAGCCTATAGAAGACATTAAGCCCTGGTAGAAAAATGATTAAAGGGGGAAAGAGGGAGCTTAGACTTCCTGGCTGGGAGCTGGGTCTACTTAGAGTCCTGAGGAAGCTTTGCATAAATGGCCATGAGAAAAGAGAGAAAGAGCCATGTCTTTTGGGTAAGCCCTTAATCTTTGCTGAGATAAATAAAGCTTACGTAAGAATAAAGCTGCTTAATGTTTGAAGTGGCTTTGGGGATAGCCAGAAGGTATTTCTAGCTGTGCTAAAAATAGGAGGGGGCATGAATTAGCATAGGTGGAAATGAGGGACTCATTCGGTTTGTCATCACTCAGTGGACCAGGGTGTGAGAGAGGAAGGGACAGGCTAAAATGCTAAAATGCTTGCTTTGAACCAGAGTTACTTTCACTCTGGAGGAGTTTCCAGGGTGGCATAGTGACAGAGCCTGGCTACCCTGACCGGTGGTGATGTTGACAATGGCAGAAGGTAGGTAGCCCCCGAACACCTGCCTGGGTATGCCTTCCCTCCATGAAGATTCTCCGTTCCGTGGGCTTCTCTTTTCTGGGGACACAAGAACAGGGATTCCCTGAGTCATTACACCAGCAATTTTCACTGACCAACATAACATGAAACTGAAGTCACCGGTTCAGAGCTGCCCTCAAAACACAATCTGTTACCAGGTGTGGCCTTTGGAAAATCCAAATCATTCTTAAAACCCAGGTGTGTGGAGGATAGTTCCTCCTTCTCATTCCCTCCCTTGCCCCCAAACACACATCTTAATGTTTGTGAAGCACCTGTGGCTCCACAGCTGGGTGACCTCTCATGAACTGAGTCCTGAATCAGCCTCCCACTGTATCCCCATAGCCATTGGTCCATATCCATCCTCAAACAGTGCCTAATGTGCAGTAGCTGCTCAGTGAGCTGGCAATTATAGAATGACAGACTGCCTGAATGAGTGGATGAAGGAATGAATGGTATTATTTGCAAAGAGAGGCCCAGAGATTTCTGGGAAGTTCCTCATCTTTTGGGATGAGCTGAGAAGAGAAATAAGAACTCAGCAAACGACAGATGGTGCTTCACTGTCAGGAAGTTTAATGACCCATCTCCCTCTGTGCTGGTGCCAGCTCCACAACCACAGCTGAGCTCCAAGTCCCTTGCCTTACTTTAGCTCCCCTCTAGGCTTGAGCCGGGTCCCTCTCTTCCCCCCAAACCCTCTCTCAGGAGCCCCTGGCAGGGGGAGTTCAGGAAGAATGTCCTGCTGCATCTGGTAGGATTCTCAGCCCCAAAAAACCTACTTCTTGCTCCTCTTCCTGCCACCCAGCTTGGCGCAGGCCCTGGAGGATCTGAACCCAGCTTTGAAGCTGGAGTACTCCATTCCCTCTGGGCCTTGGCCCTGGATGCAAAGGAATATCTTTGTCACCTGGTACCCCGCCCTGGCCGGACTCTCCTGCCTGCCTTGACCTGTGCTTCCTTCACTCCACCCGGTGCTGCTCTGGCTCCTGACTCTAGAACTTTCCCTTGACCTCTGACATTGTTCTCCCTGTTTGTTTATCTGAGGCTCGCACAGTGGTTAGTATTAAGTCTGTTCACCTCTTTGGAGGAACTCTGTTTCAGTATCAGCGTTGGGTTAGCTGGTGAATCTGGCCTCACAAACTCTCCATATAAGGAAAGGGAAAGACTTCTGACGGAAAGGTCATCTCCCAAGATTTCTCAGCCTTTCACAGGAGCCCCTCCTTAGGACACAGGAGGCTGCTGCTCTCCCCAGGTCAAAAAGTGGTTCCCTTTTGGACCAGCTACAGACCCTGCATTAGCTCTGTTCACCACTCACTCAGAGAGAGGGAGGACGGCAGTTCTGAGCCTAATCGGTGATCAGGATCTTCCCAACTTAGGTCACTCTCTCCTCCTTTACTTCCCAGGGCCCAGAGCATGCAGAGAACGTCATGCAGAATTCAAATTCCAGTCATTTTACCATAGGAGCCCATATTTAAAATACGGTAACATCCAGAAATGGCAGTATTGAGAGTTTTACTTTCACCCTCCCCCTGATCACTGCAAGGAGCTAGGGAGACTAGAATGTTGGCTGCCCAATTCATGTCACAATGATTAAGGAAAAAAATCTCTATTACACACAGGGTCCCCCATCTGAAAAAGAGGAAAAGGAGGAAGAAACACCAGCTCCCAGGTGTTTATAAGCTTTCTGAACACTTTGGCTCAGCAGGCAGGAGAAGTGAAGGTTGCAAGCATAGATGCGGAGGCAGAGAGAGCACAGACATCCTAGCATCGCAGAACCTCCCCCCAACCCTTCATCCTGCTGAAGGGAAGAGACAAATGGGGTAGCGAAGGGACTTGTTCCAGCAGAATCAGACAAACCTGGGATACCTGACTCCCTGTCTGTACCACTGTCTCCCTAAGAACAGAGCACACCCCCTCCCTCCTTTTCTCTTCCCAGTCCCTGAAGGGCTGGACAAGATTTAAATCTGACTTCTTTTACTTGAGGCGAGTAGAAAAGAAAGGACCCAGGCTCAGTGTCTGGACCAGCTGTTTCAAAGCCTTGTTATGCCCTGATTGGTTGGATGACCTTGAGCAGGTTACTTAACCTTTCTGCACTTTCATGTCCTCATCTTTAAAATGGAAATCTTAAATTGTACCCACAAGATTGTGTAAAGATTAATTGAAATGATGCTTCAAACACTTTTAGGATAAGGGGCTAAAAATGTGCATAATAATTCTTGCTAATTTGTCTCATTCTTTCCTCTCCTTCCACTTGAAATCAGATGAAATTTCTTCCCACTCTCTGTGTGTTTCCCTTTTTCTGCTCACATTGTGTGTGTGTGTTTGTGTGTATGTGTGAGGAACCCGAAGGGAGGGCGCCCTTCATCGGTGGAGCAATGTGCATAGGCTCTGTGATGGCTTTATCCTCCTTCATTTTTTCCACTAAACTTTCAAGGGTCATGTTTGTCAGATTATACCTCGAGTTACTGGACAGTGGCTACACAGTCCATGCTTTATATGAATTGGGATGCAGGAGGTGGCTAAAGTCAGTGATCATGCAGTGACCTGGGAATGCCCTAGCTAAGGAAACTGAGGAAGAAAAATGTTAAGTAACTCTCCCAAGAGGTCATAAAGATAGGATGTACCTGGATACAGTCCCTTAACAACTCTGCCATGTTGCTTCTCAATACTAGTGGGCATTCTATAAGCTAGAGGGCTACTCTTAGAAGAGACACCGACTGGGCCCTGATATTCTCCCACAGTTGAACTGATCAATTACCTATCTATTGCCTATTTGAGATGGAGTTTCTCTGAGTATGGATGGTCAAAGACAGATTGATTTATTTTTTATTGAGGGTGTTGAAATGGAACCTGGGATGGCTCAGACTAATGTCTTAGGCATTCTCCCCCACCGATCACTCATTGCTCCTTGGCCTGTTGAAGGGGAACAGTGACAACCACATCACTAAACATTTTCCACAGAGGGTCCAACAACCCCTTGGAGATGACTGCTGTTTGTGGTTGTTGGTTCTCCCTGTTGTTTGTTCAGCTCTGCCTGCTTTGTCCCTGATCCACCTCTGAAAGCAAGCATCTGCAGAGTGCAGAGTGGCCTCTGTAGATCACAGGTTTGAAAACACAAAGTCCTGGGTTCAAATTCTGGCTCTGTTCCTTACTAGCTGTGTGTGTGTGTAATATTGGGAAAGTTTCTTTGTAATAATAGCTCCCATTTGATTGGCACCTACAAAGTGTTAGACTTTGTTCTAGTTGCTTGACAGTAATCCTTACAGTAGCAGCATGAGGAACAGGTCATTACACCCACTCTACAGATGTGGAAGCTGAAGCCCAAAGAATAAGTCCCCTGCCCAAGTTTATGTGGCAAATAGGTGGCAGGGCCAAGATGCAAATCCAGCACTGTGACTCTGAGGTCTTTATGAATCTCAATTTATCTGACCTATTAGTTAGGAATGATAATATTTGCTTCCAGAGCTGTTATAAAATGAGATTACATATGTAAAACAACTACCATAGTGACTAGAGCGTAATAGATGAATACTAGATATCAAGTACATTTCTTCTTCTTAGGGTCTGAAGGACATCTATTATTAGAAACTCATTTCCAGTGACTCAGAACATTCCATAATTTTCTTGGTTTGTGAAGTAGTCAGTCAGTTATTTCTTTAACGCATATTTGCTGAATGACAGACAACTGTCAAGCATGAAGTCCCAGCCTTTATGAATTCTCGTGGGGAGATAGGCAGCATTCTGTGAGCTTCTGGGATCCAGTACCCATCAAGGACGAGTGTTTCCCAACTGACCCAAGCATAAGAATCACTTGGGGTGTTTGTTAAAAACGTAGTGCCAACTTCTTGTCTGAATGAAATAGAAACAGCTAGGGGAGGGGCCTCAGGATCTATATTCATAAAGTGTCTGTCAGGTGGATTTTATGATCATACAAGTTGTGAAACACTGGATTCTAAAGCCAATGCCTTTTCTATCTTGGGTGCAACTGGCATCATCTGGTATTTTTTTTAAAAATATCCCTATCTGGGCTCCACTCTCCACTCCAGTTTTATTTAATCAGTTGATATCTTAAAAGTCATAACTTTCAAAAAGTTATTTCAAGATGCAAAGACTGAGGCTCAGACAGACTGTCAAAGAATTCTTTGGGTTAGAGGCATTTGCTTCTGAATCTTAACTATTTTTACTATACTTTGCCTTTCCCAGCTAATATCTGTACCCGCTAAGTTTTAAAGTAATTTCTACTTGGAAAAATCAGCCATGGATGATGATTTTAAGGGGAAAGGATGAAAATGGTTATTAATTCCTTTTCAGGCCAGTGTGTTAACTGAAGAAGAAATTGATTATTGCTGTCTCCCATGGTGGCAACTGGATTCAGTGAGCACATCCCAAGAAAAATAAAACTCAAGAGAAGAAAGTCTGGCTGTGTGTTGAGCCGCCCCTCCTCCCCCGACCCACAGGGTCTCTCTTTCAAAGATTCATCTCTTTTTATATCTGGAAGCTTTGCTGCCGCTTTGTTTTATAGGCAGCCAGTCTCGACCTGGGTTAGGAAGCCAGCAGTAAAAATGGACGTCTCCCATAAGCCGTACAAAGTTGAACTAAATGACAAAACCAGTTGTAAAATTGCACATGCCCTGTTCGTGGCCATCCCTGGAACACCTTTCCCTGCATAAGAAAATGACTGTGACATCCAGAGTAGACTGAGAATCAGCATGGACGATGTGGTGATAGCTCTGGAAATCAGCGTGGCGGAGTGGAGAACCGAACTCATCCTGGAACTTGCTAGATAGAGATGGGTGAGTGAATGAAGGAGTGCGTGTGAGTTAATGAGTAAACGAAAGGTCAAGAAATAAACAAATACATGGAAGATGGATCTGCACATGTTTGTTGAAGTGCTTTGACGTACTCTTACATCATTTATGTATGTTTTGTTTGCTTTTTCAGAATGACAACTTCCAAGAGGCAAAAATCACATTCATCGGGTAGGCTGGGGGCTTCTGATGGTAGGAGTTAAATTTTTCCTCCCTTTGTACTTCCCTAGATATGATTAGTTAGCACGAGTCTCCCAGACTCTTGTCAACAGTCCTTGGGCTTTCTCTCCTCCTCTTTTACCTGACGTGCATCAGGATTTAACCTCCTCCGTCATTAGTTACCAGAGCAGCTATGCCCAGGAGGATGCAATCCCAGGCCCATGTGTACTTGCACACTTACTTCTCCCAAATATCCCCTCCGAACAAATGAATGGACCACAGACCGGGGCCAGGACATAGACAATGACATGAAGCACAGATTTATTAGGGGAGGAAATAGGAGAGAAACTCAGGGAGAAGGAGTTGGGGAAGGGAATGAGACAGAAGCTGTGCATCATTGTCTGGTGTTCCCGTTAGTTAGGATGGAGCCCTAGAAGAAGTCCAGATGTATTCCTTGCTTTGGGACCTGGATGGGGCCATAGCTGCGCCCATGCTGGAGGGTGGAGAAGATGAGGCCTCTCTCACGTCCACTGAGAGAGCATCAGGGTGGGGCGTAGGAGACTTGGAGCAAAGGGAGTGTGTGTGACAAGGTGCTCCATGGGAAGAACTCCTGACTCTTCACTGGAGCCAAGGTAGGAGGAGGTTGGAGATGAGGACAAATTTGGGGGCTGGAGGGAAGAGGAGCAGGAAGTAGAGAAGGCTCCATCTGATAGCCTGGAGGGTGGGCAGATGGTATTCTGGTCCATCCCTACTTCTGTTTACTCTTGGGGGCTTGCTGGGCCGAGGGACATTTCTGCTGGGCTGGGATGGCAGTACCCTTGCATGGACAGTGCTTCCTGGCCTGGGGAACCCACAGATCCTTGGTTTGGGGTGCACACGTTTCTTGACATTTGAAAGGAGGTGGTTGACAGGGCTGCTTCACCTGCTGCTGCTGGGCCTTCTGGGGTGGGCACTGCTGCCAAGAAGACATTGCTGCAGAAAAAGGTAAGCATGAAAGAAACCCGGGTGGGGATGCCGTGAGGAGGGCTCTCTTCATCTCTTCTTTCGTCTGACTCCTAGAAGAGTGTTTTCCTCTCACAGCCAAGGAGGTGATGAGTGGTTAATATCCTCAAATGGATTAATGGATTGATTCACACACACACACACACACACACACACACACACACACACACACACTGCCATCTTCCTCTCTCTCTTTCTTCCTTTTCCTATGTTGTTCTGATTTCCTATTTTCCTTCATCCTCCCATGAACTCCTAACTTAACTGAATTTATAATTTATTTCTCAGTCTCACCTGGAAACAAGAAGAGGTGCTGAGTTGAGGATTAAAAGCTGGCCCAGGCATTTGACAAGATTAAGGCATGACATGTTAGCTGATAAGTGTGCAATTTTGGGTGGCTCTCTTGGGTAGTGCAGACAATGAGTGTGGACAAGGATGGAAGGGCATGAGGAAGAGGTCAGGTGTGGTCTCTGTTTTAGAGGGAAGTGTCATGGTGTGTAAATGATGGGGCTGGAGAAAACCTGCTCCAGGAACTCAGAAACCTGAGTTCTAATCCAAGCTCCACTCCTGACTCAGCCCGGAATGCTAAGGCAAGTCATTTAATGTGGCTGTAGAATAGTGGTTCTAGCCCTCCACGGAGAACTGGGGAATTGAAGGCCAAATAAATCCCTGGAGTTATGGGAGGATGTTTTACCAGAGGCAGCCTGATTCAGAGGAAAGAGCATTGGCCAAGAAGGCACAGGCATGGGTTCCAGGTCCAAACTTACCACTCACTGGCCAGGCATACCACTGGGCAACCTGCCTTCTCTGGACTTCCATGAGCTTATTTGGAAGATGCTGATCTGGAAGGTCTCTGAGTCCTTCCCAGCTCTGACGTGTGTTTCTGGCTTTCTTTGTAGGCGACATTCCTCATCTTTTAAATTTGTGATTATAAATGGGAAGTATAGGTCTCAGGTGGCAATCATAGTAGTGAGGCAGGAGAGCTGTGTAGTATAAAATACAATATGTAATATACTTGCTTCTATAAACCTAAAAGCAAAGTTTGCAAACAGCTTGCTGGTATCCCCTGAAAGGCAGTAAGAAAGCATTGAAGGAGGCTCAGAATTGCTACAAAATGTTATAGCTCTCAATATCTCCCCTCACTGAGAAAAATCCTCTTGCCAGGGAGTCAAACCCGGGATCAGGAAATTAGTCATACTTAGCAATGGTGCAGAATGGAGACAGAATTTCCCAAGTAACAATTAGTGTGACATTTTCTTAATTGTCACGAGGCTCATGTTACCTCTCTGACTACCCAAGAATAGGAGAGGAGCTTGGCCTAGCGGCTCCAGGCAGCAGATCCCAGGAGAGTGACTGTGTTCCCACTTACGAGGGGCAGCAAGCTGCACCCTAGGAGGGGAAGCTGAACACAGATTCATGGCCAGCCACTCCTGGAAACCTGATAAGGGCCCCCACCTGCCCCAGGCACTTGGTGTGGCCCTGATTACCACCTCCCAGCAAATTCCTCACCCACTTCTTCCACCTGCACTTCCTCCAGGGACCTGCTTTACTGGCCCGTTTTGATGGAAACCACCCATCAGATATTCTAGCATTCTGGTCCCTGTCTACTTGAGCTGACTTCACCAACCCCAGGTGTTTGCTCAAACTCAAAGACTCAAAATCTTATTAAAATATAACAAATCTGAGGCTCTGTCTACACACTGAGAATTAGAAGAAACACTGAGGAGGGAGGAGGAAGAGAGGGAACATGGAGTGGGGCAATTCTGACAAAAATATGAACACCCCCTTTGCTGCTGTTGCTACCGCTTATTGAGTGCTCACGGGTACCTGGAGCTGCATTTACCCTTCACACCCATCGTTTCCTTTTTTCTTTACAGCCCCTATAAGGCAATGACATTGTTACCATCTTGCAGATGAGACAAGTGAGAATAGGAAAGATACATAGGAAGTAAACAGGAGAGAGAAGATTTGAACTCAGATCTGAAGGATACAAAGGACCCAGACTCTTAAACGTTATAGAGGGAGGGTCAAAAGTCTAGCCACAGGTGCCTCCTCCACTCTGCCGTATTACACAGTGCTAATGACTTTCCAGTCCGGTGGGGATTGTTCTCATGGTGTTCTGTGAGGCTCCCCTTTGAGCATGAGTAGATGAATGTGGATGGTGCCCCCAAGGTTAATCAACATAGTGGCAGTGTCCCCCACCTGCCCACTGTCAGGCTGCCTATGGGCATTAGTAGTGGTCAAAGAGGGTAGGATAGAATTACCCCTCTGGGGGTAGGATTTATAGATAAAACATAGGACATCCAGTTAAATTTGAATTTGAAATAAACAGAATTTTTTAGTATCATATGTCCCAAATACTGCCTGAGATGTAGTTATACTACAAAATTACTTGTTGTTTATCTGAAATTCAGATGTAACTGGACAGGCTGTATTTTTCTTTGCTAAATCTGGTAACCTCACTGAAGGACCTATTCAGGTGGGAGGAAAGACCTGGTGCTCCACTTGGCCTCCCAGCCCCTGGGATGGAGAGAGGCAGGACTGCTCCGGGAGGCTGATCTACGTTTGGACCAGTGTCTCAAACCTCAGGATCCTGCCCGACAAGAGGCCACTGATGCTCTGATTTCTGTCATTACCAGAGGAAATTGTAAGGCTGCCTGAGAAATGATAACAATACCTAAAAGTATTTTCCAAAGCATTTTTCAAACCCTTTGTCTCATTTAATCATCATGGCAATTCTGTCGGGTAGTGTAAATCTGATTTTGCAGTTTGAAAAAGTAGATCCAAGAAGTTACCTGACTTGCCCAACAACGTGCAGCTAGTAGGAGTGAAGCTTGGTCGGCCTCCTGGCCCAGGGCTCGTTTCCACTATATCACAGTGCCCAGTGTGTCTGTGGTGGACAAGTGACTGTCACTGCGTAGGGACCATGGCTAATGATCTTTTCTGAGTTCTCTGTCATAAGCAGACTGAATATTGCTCATTTTTCGAGATCAATCTCACTTAAAAGTTAACCTTTCCCTTAATTTCCCCTTCAGGCAAGGCCTCCTCCTCCACCTCCTCCCAAGCCTCAACTTTGAGAATGTAACATTCTGGGTTCCAGAGTCTGGGGTCTGCGCTCCATCTTGAAGATGAACACCCTCTCCACCTGAAACCCTCGCTTCCATGCTCCCACTCTACTATGCTCATCCTGACACAAACTCTCCAAAAGGGAAATATATGGCCAGACAGATTCGGCATGGGCACAGATCAAGGCATTCTCACGTGCCTGGCACCTAGAAGACATCAGTATACATGTGTTGCATATGAGGAGATGGATGGCACCATCCCCTTGTGTCTCAGTCCCCCACATGGCATCTCTGGAAGAAACTTTAGTCCTCGTTTTTCCCAGTCTGCTCATTGGCCTCTTACTTTGTTAATAAACAAGTCCAACTTAGTTTTGAGAATTCTATCTAGTGAAAAAAATTTGGCTTATAACACAAGTATCATCTCAAAGGATACTCCAGGGGTGGCTGGGGTGGAGACCTACACATGGCTGGCCTTGAAGGGGCCGTGTCTGCTAGGTCACAAATATCCAAGACACAATCAAGTTCATATGCATCCAAGACATTAAATTTTTCAAAACCCTGACACCCAACTTCCCTGTGGGTCACATTATCCCCATTTTATAGAAGGGGAAACTGAGACTTGGAATGAGGACATGCTTTGCCTAAAGTCACATGGAGGTCAGTGTCAAAGCCAGGGTTGGATCACAGGTCTCCTGACTTCACAGTTGTTATCAGTAGCTGGAGTGACTGAGCCGCTGGGTAGAGTCTTAGCAGAGGCTATGTTAATGACAAAGTCAAGAAGTTGGTTCTGGTGGTCTCCACCTCTTCTGGCACTAGTCTCTCTTCTTCCTTCTTCCCTGGCACTCAGGTGCTTTCTTTCCTACCAAAGAGGACCCACCAAGATAGGGCCTCCCGCCATCTTCTAAGAGACCCTAACTAAACCCTCTTCCCCATACTGCCAGGCACAAGTGCAGTTTTATTAGTCATCAAACCTTACAAAGTACCTCCATATACAGTTTTCACAATACTCTATGAAGAATGGTAATTGTACTATAAATTTTAGAGATGAGAATACTGTGGCTCTGTTGGTGGCTGAATCCAGAAGTCAGAAGGCATGGCTGACTCAAGTCTATTAAATATGTAATGGCTGATTTCTAGAGAACCTGACTGGCTCGGGGAGTGGATTATTTTTTCAAAGGAGGACAGGAGACTTCCTGGCATCCCTCAACTCATCCCATGTGAACAACTCCTCCAGATAAGGTGGGCCCTGAGAAGCTATGGGGGATGGCAACTCTGCAGTCCAGGCACCCGCCCCCACCTCCTCAGCCTGGCCTTGGGACTGTCGCCTGGCCAATCGTGAGTCCTGTATCTGTTCTCTTGTTACAGACTCTTAACATCAGCCCTGATATCACTTCCCCCACATTGAACCCAGCATATATGGGGTTAAAACTAAAACCCACCACCCCCTTTCCTGCTTCTCTAGCTTCACTCATATGTAAATACTTGTTTCTTTAACCTTTGACTCCTTGAGCTTTACAACTAAATGGGAGTTACAAATTGTTAACAGCCCAGGTGACCTGGAGTTGGAGGCACACTAAAATTTAGCTAATCATGTGTCCTTGAAGTTTGCCAGGAAAGCTGCTGTCTCAAAAATATCAAGGAGCGGAGGCTTCCCAGACCTCAACTCCTGACTCCCAGCGCTCAAACCCGCCTCAAACAGGAAGACAAGACAGTGGCAAAGGACACCCACCTGCTATCCTGCCATCCTCCTATCTCACCATCCCGCACCCCCACCTCAGGGCTGCAAGCAGCCTCTCAAGGCCAAAGGCAGACCAGTGGAAAAACGCTGACCTGCACAGGCTACATGCTCCCCCTCCCCTACCCAAAAACCCAAATAAAAATCCCTACCCCTTCCTCATCGGGGAGC